TTTTGGCTGAATCACCGAGGTCTTCTCACGTTACCCTTCTCTGAATCACGCCAAATATATCCGCCAGTCTCCTTCATGCAGACACTTTCCAGTACTTGCCCCAGGATTTTCTAGCCATTAGGTTACGGTATGATTTTTATATCCTTGAACATTTAGCTACTTTATGCCAACCTTCAACAAACGCAAATGCAAGGTTTGGAGAATTCCTTTCCTAAGGAGACTGAAGAATTAAAAAAAAAAAAAGAGCCCATTCCTTAATTTCACAGTCCAACAAACAGCTTGAGTGGCTGGCCCTTGGTGCGTGCACGTGTGCTGAGGCTGGAAGGCCTGTTTGCGAGCACTGACCTGAAGTTACTCTCCCAGAACCAGACTTACGAGCTGAAAGGGAACAGTCATTGGCTAGCGGAGGGATCCCAGGGTCTTGTAGCTCATCTGCTGGCTGACTCTCAGATTTAGCAAAGCCCCACACAGAACTTTTTATTTTTCCATCCTTAAGTCTATTCCATCTTCAGTAATAGCATAACCCAGTTGCTAAAGCCAAAAAGATCTAGGGAGTTACTCTTAAAAAAAAAAAAAGATTTTATTTACTCGAGAGAAAGAGAACGTGAGCGGGGTGGTGGGTGGGGAGGGGGATAGGGAGAGAATCCCAAGCAGACTGCGTGCCCAGCACAGAGCCTGACTCGGGGCTCAGTCCCACAACCCCGGGATCACGACCTGAGTGTAAGTGGGAGCTGGGTGCTCAACTGGCTGAGCACCTGGTGCCGCTCCTACGGAGTTACTTAGTTCCTTCCTTACATTCCCCACATCCTCCTTACACCTTCTGTCCTTTATACTTTGAAAATATATTGTGATTTGCTCTTTTCTCTCCCCTCTGCCACCACTCTAGGGCAAACTATAGTCTCTTCTATCTTGGACTCTTGTGCCAATATTTTTTTTTGTTTGTTTCTTAAGATTTATTTATTTTGAGCGAGAGAGCGAGCACGTGGAGCAGGGAGGGCCAGAGCGTCTCCAACAGACTCCGTGCTCGGCGCAGAGCCCGACGTGGGGCTCACAGCCTCGAGGTCCCGGCCTGCGCCCACCGGGCGCTCCCATGCCAACCTCCCATGGGCCTTTCGGATTCCGCTCCTGCCTCCCCAGGTCTGTGAACAGCAGCCAGAATGGGGCGTGAGCAAATTGAATCCGATCTCACTGCTTGCTTGTGTAGGGCCCTCACCACGCTGCGCTTCGAATACAACTCAGTCTCTACCACACCTTACAAGGTGCTGCGCAATCTGGTTCGTGCCTACCTGGCAACTTCGAAGCCCCTCGGCCTCTCTGGTCTCTGTCCAGCCTGATGGGTGGGGTTTCTTTTTTTTCCTTTGCTCTTGAAATCCCAGAGCTCATCCTGCCTCAGGATTTTGGCCTTGCTAGTCTCGAAGTCCTCACAGGCCTGGCCTCTTGGAGTCAGCCTGGTCTGTCTTTAAACGGTTACTTGTTCAGAGAAGCCTTTCCTCTCTACCTTAGTTGCCTTGTAGCATTTCATCCGGTCTGGGCAACTAGCCGGAGGGAGTTTGTTAGGATGTTTACGGTCTCTTTTCCCCTAGCAGGATACGAACTCCATTGGGACAGGGATCCAGGATATCTCCTGACACAAGAAAGTCAGCCAGCAAATATTGTTGGATGATTAGGTCCGGTTCTGGTTCTCAGGCCACCACACTATGCCGCTGCTCTGAACTCACGCTGGTCCCATCAAGTATCTCTAAGACGGTCCGGCTACCGAGGACTGCGGAATCAGAATCATTCCGGTATAGATTTTTTTCTTTGTCTCTTCCCAGGTGCAAATTGCTTACCATCCTTGAGTCTTTTTTTTTTTTTTAATTTTTATTTATTTATGATAGTCACAGAGAGAGAGAGAGGCAGAGACACAGGCAGAGGGAGAAGCAGGCTCCATGCACCGGGAGCCCGATGTGGGATTCGATCCGGGGTCTCCAGGATCGCGCCCTGGGCCAAAGGCAGGCGCCAAACCGCTGCGCCACCCAGGGATCCCCATCCTTGAGTCTTAATTTGCCTACCTGTAAAGCCGGTACAGTAGTCCTACTCTATAAGGTTGTAGGAAGAATTAAATGACATTATTTGCATAAAAAAGGCAGGGTGCTTGGCCTATAGTATGCTGAGTGTTCTCATTTCTCCAGTCTTTCATGAATTACACTAGTGAACACCTAGGTGTCTATTCTGTGATAGGTACTGTGTCACGTGGATTAGCTAATGTGATCCATATACCACTCTACACAACAGAAACTATAATCATCCCTGTGTAACAGATTAAGAAAGTTGACTGGTTTAAGCAACTTGCCTACAGTCTTGTAGTAGAAAACTGCAGACTCTGGCAAACTTGACTTCCACAGCTCCAACTAACTCAGAGGTAGTGAAACATCGCTGGTAAGAAACATATTTTACATTCTAACCCAGCACATGTGTATGAACTAAAGTGGGAAAAAAAGTTCCACAAAACAATACCCTTACAATATATATATTTTTTAAAAAGATCTTATTTATTCATGAGAGACCCAGAGAGAGGCAGAGACATAGGCAGAGGGAGAAGCAGGCTCCCTGCTGGGAGCCCGATGTGGGACTCGATCCCAGGACTCAAGGACCACGCTGTGGGCGGAAGGTAGAGGCTCAACGGCTGAGCCACCCAGGCGTCCCTATATGTAGTGTATCCTGACAGTTTCTCTTCATTTTAATTAACTAATTAAATGCAGGGCTTGAACTCATGATCCTGAGATCCAGACCTGAGCTGATATCAAGAGTCAGATGCTCAACCTACTGAGCCACTCAGGTGCCCCTCTCTTCATTTATAAAAAAAAAAAAAAGTTTTTGATTTGATTTAATGGCCTATTAGGAAGTCAAAAGCACACTTTGAAAACCATTGTCTAAGTTACAATTAACCCAACCACTCTTATTTTCCACTATCTCAACCTCTACTAGAACAACCGTGATGGTTATCAGCTAGACTTTTATATTTGTCAGACAAAGGTTTTGTTAGTTAAGGTGCGGATCTCTCAGGGCTCAGATCTACCCACTAACAACCCTCTTGCAATTATGGAAAAGTCACCTGTCAGGTGAGATCCAAGCAATTCTTTTACTCTCCAGGAATTATTTACTTGTATCAAGGTGCCCCGCGTTAGAACTTTTTACGTGGTTCCCCCCGTAGACACACGTTCCCTACACTGAAATGGTTTCTGGACAAAGGGATGAACGCACATTGACGTTTTATCTGCTCTCAGTCCAGAGCTGGCACATGAGCTAGTGCTTACAGACACTCTGAGTGCACGGTATGTATCAAAAGGCAAATAAATGGAACAAAGAAAAAGCCCTTGACTTGGAGCCCTCAGTTGCAAGGCAGGAAATTCTTTTGGAGGGCAGGAAGTAGCTATGAGCTTTTCCGCCGAGCGCTGCTTCGATTCCCTGACCCTCAGGGAAAGTTTATCCTGGTGTTGTTTTAATCCAGCAGATGCTGAGCAGTTAGAGGAAGGGAACGAACAACTGGGGGAAATATTACCAACTGTTTATGTTGATTTTTACCAAACCGGACCGGCCACCAGCTGTTGAGGGGCTCAGGAGAAGCTGTGGTGGGAACAGGAAAGGTGAGCTCAGACTGGAGCTAGTTTTCGGCTTTCTCGTTGTTTGGAGGGGGAAAGTCCCAAGGAAGCATATGCCAATTGTCAGATGGCCAAGATGCACAGGCGACCGGATGCGCCTGCTCCCGGATACAGCAGGGCTGGCTGTGGCGTGCCCACGGAGTAAAAAGTGACCATCGGTTGCTTACTCCGAACTCATTCTCTCCTTCTTTAGTGACTGTGACTCGTGGACCACGGGGGGAAGGAACGTCCAAGGAGAGGGGACATTTCTTGGCCTCCTTTAGAGCGAGCTGCTGTCACGCGGGTGAGTTCTGGAGATGGGTGATTTCCGGGAAGGCTCTTTAAAGGGTGCTGACTCAGCTGGGTCTGCCCGTTTTGTCCTCGCCCTCTTCTCCTCATGTTGCCAGGAATTCCAAATGGTGGCTGACGGTCAAGTGGCTATTTTGGACCGAGAGGTGACCCCGAGAGGAACCGTGTCGCGGTGCAGACAGGAGCCACTACGCTGGGTGTGGACCGCCAGCCTTCGGGACTCTTTCCCCTGATGGAGACACAGTTCTCGTTTTTGCTGATTTGGGTTTCTGTTAAGTGAATCGTCAAGCCCCTCCTAATGGAGTTGGCTCGGTAATTCTCGGCACTCACGTAACAAAACCTTCGTGTCCTCCAAGGGACAGTCAATTCTGTTCCCTCATTCTACCTTCCAACAACGGTGCAAGGGAGCTGTGAGGCCTGGGTGCTGTCAGAGGGAGACTGCAGTGGAACACGGCAGGGCTTGCCCAGTGCAAAGCCTGGAGAGCAGCAGGCTTTGAAAGCCAGCTTACCTCACCCCTAGGATTTATTTTATTTTATTTTATTTTATTTTATTTTATTTTATTTTATTTTATTTTATTTTTTTATTTTATTTTTATTTTATTATTTTATTTTATTTTATTTTACTTTTATTTACCCCTAGGATTTTAAAACCATGGTGGAAATAGGTCACTGATTTCCTTTAAAAATGATTTTGATTGGTTAAATAGTGGTTATTTTTAAAAGCAAGCATCTCCTAAAAAGAAAAAAATAAAAAATAAAAGCAAGCATCTAAGGACATCTAATTTCTTCTGTCAAAAGGAAGAACATCAGAGTTCTTTCAAGTTGCTTCCAGAATACTACTGTTACATTAAAATGAATTACAACTCACTGTATTGTTATAACATACATTAAAAGAGTTGAACTCTCAAACAGGCTGAGACACATTTTGAATAAGCAATTAGTAAAATGAATGTGTTACTGTTTTAAAAGCATTACAGTCTTGATGATTAATGTAGAGTTGACAAAGTCTTTAAGATGAAAAGGTAGAGGTAGGACTTTTTTTTATTACAATGCAGGGAAAATTGAATGAGGTGGATTCAACATAGAAAAGTTTTAATGAGGCAAGTGTCAAGCAAGCATATCAACTTCTTCAAAAACAAAGAAAATCTAAAAGTTTAATTACAAAAACACTTGTACAGAAAACTTGGCATTTCAGCAGTTCCAAACACATACACACAAATTGTTTTCTTAAAATTTAATGTCAGAAATAAAACACTTTGTCTTACTTTCCTCAGCTGCTGCTTGTGTTTTAATGAAAGAAAAAAAAAAGAAATCTGTAACACTGAATAGGCAACAATTTATTTCTTGAGACGAATCTGTTAAGTGTGCAGGAATATCTACAAGTTTACTGGGAAACATGAATTAGGTACAGTGTTAGCCTGTAACCTCACTTACCACCTCCTGGTTGAGCAACACAGACCTGCTTTACAGAATGTGACAGTTTTATGGCAGCTAAATCCCAGCCACCAGAGTCAGGTGTGCAGCTACTGGGAGAGGTAGTATCTCAAAAGTAGGCTGTGTATTTTGTGAAAATGGTTTTAGATTGTAGCCTCTTGCAAGATCTGGGGCTTTCCCGAATACGCAAATGTTTCATGGCAGTGTCAGATGGACCAGCTACAGTCTGGAGAATGACAACCTCTGGACCAAGTTACAGCCTTTCTTGGTCAACAGCACTGCTAACAGAGGTGCACAAAACCATGGCAGTGTCAGATGGACCAGCTACAGTCTGGAGAATGACAACCTCTGGACCAAGTTACAGCCTTTCTTGGTCAACAGCACTGCTAACAGAGGTGCACAAAACCGACACAAAGGATATCAGGAGGAAAGAAGAAGGAGACAAAGTGTCTGGCAGACAGCGGATACAAACTTCCAGAACTGGCTTGGCTGTCCTTCTGCCACACACAGGGTGTTCTAGCTTGGACTGAGCAAGCAAGGAGTCTGAGCGAAGTGACAGGAACAGCAGGTGAGGGCAGGAAAACAGGAAAATACAGAACAAAGCAGGCCAGGCTTATGGCAACAGATAATGATGGGCTCCTATTCTAAGAAGTTGCCAGGCAGTGGTGTGTGGGCTTCAGTGCATGGAAACTTGACATGTGCTCACGTAACATTTTTTAAAAGGGTTGTTTGTTGTTATTTTATTTCCTTTGGGCTAATAAAGAAATCAGGTAAGGAGATGCTGGGAAGACAGGATGGTGCAGCAACACGACGGGGGTTTCTGGCTTGTACCCTGGCTCATGAGCAGATTGTGAGGGGACACACTTCCACCTGCCTCCGTGGCGTGGTGCCTAGACAATGGGCTCAGCAGGCCCCACTTTGGTTCCAAAGATTTCAGCTGCAACTGTCAGCCTTGTGCTCTAGAGCATCAAAACAAAAGACAACAAAACCCTGAGGTGAGAATCAGAAACATTTCTTCCCTTTCGGTGTTAAAAAATATCACTTCCTAAGAGGAGAAAAGGAAGGGAAGCCTGTCCTTTCGACATCGATTTTGCAGTGATGACTATGAGGGAGGACGAAGACAAACTCCTCCATGCCCTTGTTTGTCAGCTCAAGAGACGATTTTGAACGTTTCTCCCTATCCCTATCCTTGCATCAGTATACCTCAAGCAGACGAGGATTCCCTCAGTTCCCACTCATGATAAACTTTGGGTTTTTTTTTTTTCTCTTCAATGCCAAATGAGAAGCTACTTTTCCCATTCTTTCCTGTTTACCAATGACCTTTTCCTTAGCAAAAATGCTCCATAAGACACTGCCAACAGATGGGAACAGAAGAGCCTTGCTGGGGCTGGGACATGGTGTCTGTGCAGGAGCAATGCTCAGGAAACAGCAGGCAGTAGCAAGGGGGAAGGAAAGAGCATTCTCCTTCAGGGCAGCAATCACAAAGCCTCAGTGAGGGCCGGCACCCACTGCGCACCGTGTAGGGTAGGAAACACAGCCTTGCTCCACAGGACACTGTCAACAAGAAGCTCCTTTCTTTGGAGTCACAGCAGGACAATGATGGGAGAAGCCTGGGCCTGTCCAATGAAAGAAGCTCTCCTTCAGAGCCCTGCTGCACAACAGAGCCCAGAGGTCAGAAAATGGAGATGTCGAACTTGGTGGGGGTGAAGGAAAGAAAAAAAAAATCACCCCCAAAAGGTTTTAAGAAAAAAAGTGACAGCTAGGTAAGAAAACTGGAGCCATGATAAAAGGGTCCCATGTGGAGCGGAGCAATGAGAAGGCTTCCCTTCTGCTGCAGGAGATGTCAGTGTCAGGGCGGCCCGGTGGGTGGAATTTGTGGCAGACCCACTTTATCAGAAAGAAATGCGGGTGACAGGAAACTGAAGACCTGGGAGAGTAGCTGTACGCTTTCAAAGTTGCACAGGGACGGTTCCACAGGGAGTTTGTATCCATGATCCTCTAGCTGCTCTCTCCTACGGCTTCCCAGGGTGAAGGCATTGAACTCCTAACTGACAGTCCTTTCCCAAGCACAGCAATCTGTACCCCCTCTCTTTCTCCACTCAGTTCAAATTTCCACGGATGGCTTCTCATTCCTCACAAGTAAAACCACTTACAGAACATCACGGAGCTCTAAGACCTGCAGGATTGGGAGCGAGAAAAACAATGAAGATACCAAAAAAGTAAGCACTGATCAGAAAGGGTAGGGCTATGAGTTGAAAACAAACAAAAACAAAAAAACTCTTCTATTTCCTATAGGGTTACAGTGAGGAGCATGGTGGGTGTAAAGAAAAGAGCTCCTAAAGCTGCAAGCAGACAACCTCGCTGAGATGTTTCAGATAACATTTCAACCAGCAACATGGCCCAGCTCCAGTTCAGCAACAATGGGGAGGTAGGGGAGGTAGGAAAATCATCAGCTGAACACGGAAAAGCAACTATCAGGGCCAAATCTGATGATGGAAAATTAGTACTCCACTTTAGTCCAAAGAATGTATAATCAGTCAAAACCACTTTTCCTTGAGTATAAATCTCAGAATCTTGGCAGGTATATAGAAATGTATTGTGTGCACAGGATCAATAAATTTTCTTACATTGCTAAAAACGTAATCGCACAAGAGAGGGTTCTAAAAAATTTTCCAATTCCTCAAAGAGCCAAATATTTTTCATTTGGTTAAAGTGAAATCAAGCAACATATGGATTTTGACAGTTTATGTAACATGGTCACCTCTCAATGTGACACTGCCCCCATGGTTTCCTCCCAGCCCCACTCTTTAACTAGGTATCAGTCAGATACAGAGAAAGGTGACAGCTAGGGCAAGTCTTTCAATGCATGTCCAAAAAAAAAAAATGCTTTCTAAACAGGGTGACCAAAATTTTATAACGTTATAATTATTGGATTGTAAGTTTTTCTATTTATCTCAATGCTCACCTTCCAAGGATTTTCAGCGCTTTCTCCTTACACTTGGTCCCTCCTTACAGAAATGTTTTAGAAACCCCCCTGAACCAGAATTTAGGCATATTTGTTCTAGTTCTAGAGTCTGTATTCATCTACGTAGGTATTTTTCGGGTAAGAAATTTCACTTCTTTGGGACCCAGTTTCTTCCCTGGGTACAATGTTGGGATTTCTAAAGTTCCCTTCCAGCTCTAATATGCTCCTAAAACTGTAGAACACTGGCTTTCCTTCACTCATTGGCTCCTGACAGTGGATGAAACCTTTGCCAAGCTCACATCAGAGTAATTAATTGCACCACGAACGTTGGGACATCAGGCCTAGCTGTCTGTACATATTTGTATAATGAGGCCAACCTAGTATTAATCACAGTCTTTATAACTGTTTCATTTGACAGTTTTGAGGGGTGTGGGGAACTATCTACTTTTAGTTATGTCTGGATGGCTAAGATTGTAAGAATCTGTAGTAATAAAATGGTTCCAAATTCAGGTATTTATTTTTGAGCAGCAAAATGTAGATTAAAATCAGGGATGATGGTAACATTTTAGGTTTTGGAAGACACTTCTGAAAGCCGAATACTACAGTTCACATCCTGAGATAGGTAAAGCTTTGGGAGAGTTTTACTGGCAAAATGCTCAAAATAGAAAACCATTTTGGGCTCAAAACTTGCAGTAACTGCCTTATACCTATGTGAGGAGACACTATGTTATCAATTACTGTATTCTTTCACAATCTTCCACAGGTTTTCCCTGCTCTCTCTTTTCAAGCCTACAAGAGTGCTAATTGAAAACATTGTGTGAAAATGAGAAGGATGGGGATCCCTGGGTGGCGCAGCGGTTTAGTGCCTGCCTTTGGCCCAGGGCGCGATCCTGGAGACCCGGGATCGAATCCCACATCAGGCTCCCGGTGCATGGAGCCTGCTTCTCCCTCTGCCTATGTCTCTGCCTCTCTCTCTCTCTCTCTCTCTCTCTCTCTCTCTCACTGTGTGCCTATCATAAATAAATTAAAAAAAAAAAAAAAAGAAAATGAGAAGGATGATGAGCTCCTGAAAATTCCAGGCCTAGATTTACAAGCTGTTCCCTTCATAAACAGCAGTAGTAATGCCACTTCTTTATTCTGTAGGGAGTCCAGCCATCTCTTAGAAGTATGGTCTGTTCCATCTGGCTACCCACTAGAAGGACAGTAATCCTTTCCCCATTAGAACACGGCTGAGGCTCAAGTATGGTGAATGGTCTTGCAGAGTTACCATCCGGTGGCATGGCCAAGAAGGATGGACACTATTGCTTTTGTCTCTGCTAGCAGATGTTGCCTCCTTACACAAAGAATCATGGGTTTTATTTATTCTCATACATTTTGCTTTACATGCTAGAATATGAGTATGTATATGAGTGTGCTTGTGCACCTGCAGGACAAATAAATATTCAAACCCACGACTAGCCACTGTAAGGAGCATATCCTGTTGTCTACTTTTGTTTTTCCACCCTCACCATACGGTGCTAGGATTTCCACAGTGTGCTGGCATTGACCTAAAGACGAAGGGTTGCCAATTTGGTGGGATATGGCACATTACAGGGGACCCTAGCTCTAGGAATTTAAGTGAACATATACGAATTCTATTTAAGAAATGACACTTGATTCTATTTGATTCTATTCTAAATGACACTTAAATTCTATTTAAGAAATGACACTTCAAAAAATTTCTATAGGCAGAGACTTTCTGGAAATGTACTTTTTTCCAATTCTATGAGGGTATGACATGTACTACTAGTCATTTGTTGAATTTATTTTAGAAGGCTTATTTTCTCTCTCCTCTCCTTTTTGCTTACTGAGAGTTTATTTTTAAAATTGGTTTAAAGTCTTTTTATTTTTTATTTTATTTAAAGTAAACCAACGTGGGGCTGGAACTCACAACCCTAAGATCAAGAGCTGTATGTTCTTCTGACTGACCCAGCCAGGTGCCCCCACCACCCTCTTTTTAAAAGTCTTACTCTCGGGATCCCTGGGTGGCGCAGCGGTTTGGCGCCTGCCTTTGGCCCAGGGCGCGATCCTGGAGACCCGGGATCGAATCCCACATTGGGCTCCCGGTGCATGGAGCCTGCTTCTCCCTCTGCCTGTGTCTCTGCCTCTCTCTCTCTCTCTCTCTCTCTCTCTCTCTCTCTCTCTCTCTCTGTGACTATCATAAATAAATAAAAAAATTAAAAAAAATTAAAGTCTTACTCTCTTTAAATAGGGCAATAGCTGTTTCACTGGAAGGATAGTCCACATTAACATTTAACATACAATAGTTGCTCTGATATTGAGTGCTGAATGAAAAGCTTCTTACTTCCGTAGGTTTAGATACATACAATGTCTCAGTGACTGCTGCTGTAAGTTATCATTAGTATTTTCCAGGGAAAAGGAAGCTTAACAATTAAGTGATATTTATTTTGTTCTAAGTGCTGTTTTGGGGGTGATTTCCCTAAACTTCTCATCCACTCTTCCATTTTTTTTTTTTAAGATTTTATTTATTCATGAGAGACACAGAGAGAAGTAGAGACATAGGCAGAGGGAGAAGCAAGCTCCCTGCAGGGAGCCTGATATGGGCCTCGATCCCAGGACCCCAGGATCAGGACCTGAGCCAAAGGCAGACGCTCAACCACTGAGCCACCCCGCTGCTCCCTCATTCACTCTTCAAAACCCTTTCGGAAACTAACCCTGGAGAATACAGCTAATAGCTAACAATGCTGGAATGGAGGTTCAACCACAAAAAAATCATGCTCTTTCCATTAAACCATGCTGAGGCATGCATTAGAAAGAAGTCTTTTCTAATATTATTTACTACATTTAGTAACCATGTAAAAGTAATTTTAATCAAGCCTCCAACTCATTTACTTGATGTAATGCCAGGGTTTTAGTAGCATTGAGAAAGTCTACTGTCTTCTAATTTTTGATGATGTGTTGGCACATACATATTGCATCAGTGAACACTCACCATTCCCTAACGATCAAGCCTGTTCACAACTTCTCGAACTGTAGCTATGAAATTTTCATTGTCTTGGGGATTAGCTAAAATAATACTGTGCAGTCTGTTCATATATGAGTCAATGGTGTCCACCGTAGGTGTCTCTCCACTTCCTGAAGTGAGATAAGGAGAGAAAGTAAGAAAATCCTCCCTCTTCAGTTCGACCATAGCACACTTAAGTGACTCCACAGTAAACCACTCTAATGTGGTCTGTTCCAGAGATAAGATTTTCATTTCAGAAGAGAGACTTTTAGACCTCAAAGAAATGAAATTAATCCACATATCCTGAATAAAAAGATGGGCTATATAACTATTCTACAGTATATATGAGTAGCTGCATATAACAAGTTAGAGATGCTGTGATTATCCTTAACGTGAGAGAGGATATAAAAAATACCAGTGTCTGTTTTCCTCTTCCTTCCTTTTAAAACAAAATTATAAGGCTACCAAACATATATAAGAAAAATGCTCTACTCAGGATTTATTACTCAGTTTCCACTATTCTGAATATCAAATTAAGCTTAAGAGAAAGGAAAGTAAATTATATTAAAATATAATTAGAGAAAAATTTAAATGATCAGAGAGCCTGAAAATTTGGATGATTGTAACCAATACCGAGATACTATTCGAAGACCCACAGAAACCTCTGAGGAAAGAAAACCCTTATTTTATTGATTTTCCTCTTGGTGGGGAGACTTCAGCCTCACCCCACTAATCCCGACCGACACAAGACAGCACCTGCTCCTTTCCCCAGCACCGAATGCTCACTCATGTGAGGGTGACATTACCAGGCAACGGCATGCTGGCAAAGCTGCTGGTCAACACCTGCCGCAAGGTCTCCAGGTGCTGTTGCAAGACGGTGTTGCGGCTCCGCTCCTGGATCACGTCCACCTCCAGCTTCTCCACGGCTGTGCGCATGCTCTCCACGTGCTTTTGCAGGGCTGCATTCCTCTCCTCAAACTCCATGTTGGATTTCCGAAGCTGGCGGAGCTCGGCCTCCCGAGCTGAGGACACCCCCCCCCGCCCCCCGCGCACACGACACATGTAGCTCTGGGAGTCTCCGAGAGTCCCAAAGACGCGTGCAAGGAAGTTCTGCTTAGCTGTCTAATTAGCTACCCCACCGCATCTCCCTATTCTCATTATAGCCTTCCAGATAGCAATTTCAGCAATAAAATGCCTGGTTCCCCAGAGCTATTTTAATTCTTAAAGCTGGTCATATTCCTACTTAAGATTGCAAGGAACAGTTGCAATTCTTGGTATTTGTTTATTTTGTTTTTAAAACCGCCTGAGGGGCTTCACAGGCGGATCCTGGGAGACCGTGCGAGCACAGCTGCGGGTCTCTATCTTTACTGCAGTAGGGTCAGCTTTGCTCTTCCTTATTTTGTATTCTGGATGCCCATGTAAGCTTTCGTTTGTACAAAGGGTTTCAGGCTAAGAGTCTGAAAGCAACTGAATTAGTGATGCACATTTACTCCCTTTGATCCAGAGATTAAAGTAGCTTTGACAAAACTGGCCTGGCTTGCTTTCCTTCCCTAGTTTTTGAGTAGCTACCTTTACTACAAAGTGAAATAGAAAGAGTTTTCTCCTTTCAGACCAGTCCTAGGGTCAAGAATATCACTACCACCGCTTTTGAGCAATGAATCCCTCTGAGAATGAAATCTCACCCCCCCCAACCCCCCCAAACCTGAGAAACACAGAATGACACTTTGGCAATTACCTTTGCTGTGGTTCAGGAATTCCTCTGTAAATATAGGAATGTCAAAAACAGACCGTTCCTTTACCTCTGTTTCTTTCTGAGAATCAAGAGTAACAAAACAGTTAATTCTTTTTCCCCCTTTTACTCTCTTATTGAGGTAGAGTAGACAAACAATGTTACATTAGTATCAGGTGTACAATGTAGTGATTTCATACGTCTATATATTACGCTGGGCTCACCACTAGGGTAGCTATCACCCCTCACCATTCAATACCATTACAATACCACCGACTACATTCCCATGCTGTTATCTTTTATCCCTGTGACTTACTCATTCCATAACTGGAAGATTGCGCCTCCTACTTCCCTTTACCCATTTTGCCCATCCCCGTACCCCCATCCCCTCTGGCAATCACCAGTTTACTCTATTTATGGGTCTGTTTCTGCTTTCCTCTTTTTTAGATTCTACATATAAATGAGATTATATGGTATTTATCTGGCTTATTTTACTTAGCACAATACCTTCCAGAGCCATATGTCTTATCACATATGGCAAAACTTCATTATTTTTTATGGCTAAGTAATATCCCACTGTATATACACGTGTGTGTATCTTCTCTATCCATTCATCTACTAATGAACAGTTGGGTTGTTTCCGTATTTTGGCTATTGTAAACAATCTTGCAATAAACACAGGAGTACATATATCTTTTCAAATTAGTGTTTCCACAAACAAGTTTTTTTTTTTTTTATTGTTGTTTTAGTCATCACTAAGCCTAATGTGGGTCTCAAACTCATGACCCTGAGATTAAGAGTCTCATGCTCCATTGACTGAGCCAGCCAGGCACTCTATACAACAGTTAATTCTTAAAGGAGCAGCTGGGTGGCTTAGTCAATTGAGAATGCAGCTCCTGATTTTGGCTCAGGTCATTATCTCAGGATCCTGAGATAGAACCCCGCATTGGGCTTGGTGTTCAGTGTGCAGTCTGCCTGTCTCACTCTCTCTGTTGCTCCTTATGCTCCAGCTCTCTTTCATAGATAAAAATCCTAAAAAAAACAAAAACAAAAACAAAACCTACATAAATTTCCGTAGTGGAAAATTTGGAAGCCATTTTTCAGCTCTGTGCTTTGAACAGTAAACAGTATATAGCTGTTAAAGTAGCTAAGGTAGGAATAGAGAAAGGAAATTGTTAGGTGTTTTTTCAGTTGCTTCTGTTGGTTATGCATGTAAAATGCTGAGATCGGACTGTCCATTCTAAATTTGCAGAATGGACAGTAAGAACTTTCAGCAGAGATCTGTCAATCATGAGCAATAATAATCGCATTCTATCAGTACCAACAGTACCATCACTTCACTTACTTAGAGGGGCAGTCTATATATAATTGGGGATCTTTTAGATTTTCTTCAAACACAGGGAAAAACAAAACAAATCAAGAAGTCAGAAATAAGTAGGCTCTAAAAATGGGAAAAGTGAAGGATTATGTGAGACAAAAGAATTATGTGAGACAGAAAGCCTAAAATTAGTTCACCAATTTGGTAAATTTAAAAATAAAATTTAAGAAATAAGGGCTCACAAAATTATTGCAAAATATATCCCACAATGACCCTTAAAAATAAAGTCAATTTCACGATGCTTTGGCTGCCATTTCTGCAATGAATCTGAAGTTGAAAGCATTAGGAATATAAATCACGAGCATATTGGCACAATGTTTAAAATCTTGCATAATATAAAGATGCTAAGGACGACAGTGGGAAATGAGTACTGAGAAATTATTAGTGAAATCTAGAGATTAAAAAAATATCTAAAGGCATTCCTATAAAAATATGTTTAAAGCCAGAGATGGAATATATCTTTCCTACTCTTGCCACCACTAGTCTTTTATCTTATAACACAAATATGATCTGGTGCCCAGTAGAAAGCTAAGTAGTTAACACTCTATGAGGGGATTCCGATGGCCAAGCTCCTATTTTCATATTGGCGTCTGCCTTGAAAGGAGGCTGGGCTGTGTGAACAGTCTGCCAATGGCAGCTGATCAAGACAGCCATCTAAGATGTTAAGTCTGAAAAATTATGTATTTACCTGAAGAAATTTTCAGAGCACTTGATTTTTATCTTTTAAAGAAGGCAAGCAATGTTTCCCAGAGCAATTTAAAAATAAACAACAAAATTATCAGTGAAAGTCCCAATTTCAACATGCAAAGCTCTACTTTGGGCCAGTTCCTTGTGGTTTCAAAGAGAACCAAAGTATGGGCAAGAAAAGTTGGCTGCAGAAGGGATCCTAGACATATTTCAGGGTGGCTTTCTCTTGGCTCTGCAGGGCTTACATACGCTTTAACCCTGTTATTGGGTTGCTATAGAAAAACAGAAAACTTATGACATACAATTTCAATATGAACAAAGTATAACAGATAGAAGTCCACAAATGACTTAGTATAGCCTTATGACCTTATCATTCTACCTTGTTCAGTCTCCTGCTTAACTGCACAGTCTCCTGCTTCTCCTGCTTAACAAGCTCATATGAGATCAGTCACCTAGTTACAGTTCTAAATAATCTGCCACTTTTAGATGGGTAGGGAGGGATGCTTGGCTCCCGTTACCATGGTACCAAGAGCCCTCTCCAAGGCCCCCGATTCTCCTCACACTGGTAATTCTTTTCTCCTCTTTGCCAGAGCGGCCCAAACCAAGCTAACTTACATAAGCGTAGAGCATAGCACCTTATAGGTGCATTAACACACTGCCCCTTGGTACAGATTCTTAGAGTGCAAAATAAGAAACACAAAAGCAATTAAATCAAACGGTTCAGTCTCTGAAAGTCAACAGAGATTCTACTTAACGGAAGAGTGGTAATAAAAACCATCAGCACTCTCCCATTACTGAGTACATTACTCAGCATGGAGAGGATCCTCCGGGGGGCTCAGATAGACTTAAGCTGTTCCAAGGATCGCTCATGGGATTAAAATCATAAGGATTTCATTACCTCTTCAATGAAAGGGTCTAATTTGTTCAGGCTGAGTGTCATTTTGTCATTTCTCATAATTTAAAGGAGAAACAGAATTATTGTTTCTTAGTCCTCACACGGGATGCAGACACTTTCTTGAGTGTAACACTAGTTGACCCCTGTGTCTAGAGGGCTGGCTTTTGATCTGAGAGGAGCAAAAATGCTCTTCACTTTGGTTTTTCATTCTATATATTGAGTGGAGGGTAAGAGAACAAAGGCTCTTTTCAACTGAATCTATTTTGCTATGATCTAGGTTCAGGGCCAGAATTTCATAGAATGTGACATGCTTCTCTGAAGTACGCTTTACCTTAGGGAGCACTCTTAATACCATGTACTGGGCTGAGTGCCCCACTGCTATGCCAAACACGCCAGCAGCGTTCAGGTCAGAATTTCTCTAGCTCTGGCATGTGCATATCTGCCATGGTAACAATGTCTTAGGAATCCAAGTTCCAGTGAGGAATGTAATAGGTTTCTTTACTGTGTGCAAACGAAATAATTTGTCTTACCTGGCAAATTTGGTGATGTTCCCAGTAACCAGGCCCATTTACACTTTCAACACTAGTTTGCTTCATGTGGCCTGGTATGTGGGGCTGAGAACGCCAGCCTGGGGTACAGAGACCTTCACTTATACTCTGCCTCTGATTCAGTAAGTGGTTCTGGGGAAGTTCTTTCCTGTCTTAGGCAAGTCACTTTTCTCACCCGTAAAATGGGGGGATGGGGGGCCGGTTGAGAGAGTTTCTGAAGTTCTTAGTATTTTTGAAGTAAGCTGGAAGACTGTCCCACTACATTTACCATTTTACCCCTAATAGGATAAGTAAAGGGAAATGAGCATGTATTTAGAATCTATGATGTTTTAGGCACTTTGCAAGGTATTTGCTCTTTTATTAACTTACTCATAACTGCTCAAGCCATTTCACCCACCTCAAGGTGTCCCTCACAAAACCTGGGGCATCTTTAAGGCTTGATTTAGTTCCTCCTTTCCATGGGCTTCCTGGTGGCTCCTTTTCACTCACAGAGCTTTCTTATTTTTCAGAACCATTACGCTAAGAATTTATATATAAGGAAATCACTGTGTAACTATGTTTAAGAACTCAAACTAGTTTTTTTTTATTTCAATTGTTCTGAAAGTACCTAGTTTAGGAAACATAATATTCAATAAAAAGTAAAAACTGATAAAGTGAAGGACATTATTTGGGTCAATAACCTTGCTAAGAGAACTTGATCTTGATGTAGGCATAGCAACAGACAGATTTCCAAAGCCTACTGTATACACAGTTGAGAAACTACTGCTGGCTCTCCATCTACTCTCCTTGTTTTCCTTTGATTTAACATGTGTCTAATCCTAGGACAGGGAAATCACATAGAGACTTATTCCTTTTCGTAAATCACAGAAATTCATACCATGCTAAATCATGTAAATAAAAATAAGATGCTTCATTTAATAAATAAAAGCCTCATTTAATAAAGCTTCATTTCTCATAGAAGCAGCAGCAGCTTCTATGACTGAGTAAATGTACTAAATCTTTCTTGACTAAAACTATCAACCTTACTGAAGACAAAATGCCATATATAACTTGGCCAGCAAAATTTGTAGTGATGAAAGGAGTTAGCTGTTGACTAGAAAGTGTGAGATCTACTATTTTAGACTATTGTCCAAATTCTCTTTTGTAACCATTAAGGATAGAGAAATTATAAAGGATGCCTGATATGAGAAAAAAGAAGTATGGAAATCTCATGATATTGGTAGGAGGGCACAGACAAATAAAGGGAGAAATAAGTAATTATACAAATATCTGTCAATATGGAAATCTTGAAATACTATTCAATTAGAATTTTACATATAAAGTATACATACATTTCTTAAATTTAAAAAATCTTAGTATTTCACCCTAATTAGAGCACAGAGATGTCACAGATCTACATTACATAGAATCTATTTGAAGAATAAAATTCTTTTATTGTGCTTCTTCTAATTCATGGATTGTAATCAATCTATTTTGTGAATCTAAATGTTTTCTCTATGTTTTAAAGGTAACCAAAGCTAAATTACAGACTGAAGATAAATAATTATTTTGAAGAAATTATTTCTTAAAAAACTAAATGCACACAAAAGTAGATCAGAAAATTCTTTTTTGTAACTTTCCACTGTTATTTCAACAAATGGGTTTTGTGTAAAAATAAGTATTTATGGAAGACTTCCCAATGCAAGGGCATCATGCTAGGTGGTATGGGGCAGTTCAAGATGGAAACTATAATCCTTCAAAGAGATTATAATCCAAGAGTGTGAATGACAGAAGCACTTCAATAACCTCAACACCTTAGCTATATCAGCTAAGTATGTATGCGAAATATACAGAGTTGTTGAGGGTTAAAGGAAGCTGGAGGACACAGGAAAAGCTTGAAGGAGGAAATGGAACTTGCAACAGGGCTGGATGGACGGCTAGGATTTTGTGAGGTGGAATGGGATGATAGGGGAGAGGTGGTGGAAAAAATGAATGAGAGTATTTTTGTGAAAGAAAGAATATGAGTGCAAACATGAGGCAGAAATGGAGGGGGCATGTGGAAGGCAGCAGTAAAGGTTTTTAAGCACATAAGATAAACGTGGGAAATGTGGGAGTTAAGGTGTTTGGAAAGGGAATTTGGACTCAACTACAGAAGACTCAGACTTCTTGGGATTTGGTATGCAATGAAAAGTCACTGAGCATTTTAAAGCATAGAATTACCAAAAATTTTATTTTCTTACAACCATATGTGAACCTTGGACTACATGTATACTTAAAGCTCTCTGCCACAAAGCCAAGACACACAGGCCTAAATCCTATGGATGACAGGCTAAACCAAATGGAGGGGACAAGGCCAGGAAACGAGTAAATGCCAGCGAGCTAGGATCCAAGATACTGTCACTTGTGCTTGGCTGACACTGACACTGAATAGTTCATTTTATATTGGATTCCCTAAATCACAACTTTCTGAAAGTCAGAGTGATTATGACAAACTATGACCAAGTTATGGCTTTCAGCTGGTCTTCATTTCTATACTTCACTCCAAATTCCAGCCATCTTTAGCATGTCAAGGCAATAAAATTCTTGAATCACAAAAAAGGACTGGAGCCCTATAGGGGCTATAGTTCAAGGACAGACTCATGATAAGTGTCTGTCATATAGTAAGAATCTTTGAGCAAAAAAAAAAAAAAAAAAAAAAAAAAGAATCTTTGAGCAAAGGAACTCACCCCATCTAAATTATGGGATAGGAAATAGTCTGTTATTCATTAAAAAAAAGTCCAATAATATGACAAACAGCAACACTATTCTATTTCTTTTTTAAATGAAAGAGCAAAAAAATTTTTTTTAGATTTTATTTATTTGAGAGGAGAGAGAGAGAAAATGAACGGGGGAGGGGGTGGGGTAGAGGGAGAAGCAGCCTCCCTGCTGAGCAGGGAGCCTAAGGTGGGACTCAATACCAGGACCCAGAGATCATGATCTGAGCTGAAGGCAGATGCTTAACTCTTGGAGCCACCCAGGCACCCCTAGCAACATTATTCTAAATAGATAAATGATACATAGACAGAAAGCTAATTACCTCATGATCATGAGTGGCCTGCCGGGCTGCATCTAAAAATATGAAGGAATAAGAGAACATTAATTTGAAGAACAAAACAATAACAAAACCCAAGCAAATCAACTGTGCTACACTACAGTTAGTCTGACACAAGAGAAATAGCAGATGTAGATCCTACTTCTGAAGAGAGAAGAGTGGGAGAGCAGACAGGAGATGCACACCACTGGCTGTTTGCACAACATTATAGTTTAGCAGGAGAGATGCCCGACTGTGGAGATGCAATGGCTAAGGCACGGCAGACTAGCTGTGGGTGGGGCTGCTTTGTCAATGTCCCCTGAAGAAAGGGAACTTGAAGCAATACTTGAAGGGTGTGATGAACAATTTTAACAGAGGACCAAAGATCCACAAAGACTGAGGTCCTGTCTCTCTTGCTCACTGGGGCATCCTTAATGCCTGGGTGAAAACTTGATGTGTTCCAGGAGGTGCTCACTATGTACTGTTTGAGTACAGGAATAGGTGAATGGATGGAAGAGAAGGATATTCACTGTGGGCTGGTAGAAATGGTGCATGAAGGTGTTTGAGAAAGGCAGGTATGTAGTTGAGTAGACAGACTTGTTTAGAGGCAGAGAAACGCCTAAACTGAGAATTAGAAGAAAAAAAAGCACAGGCAACTAAAAAGGGTCTTGGAACACAAGTCAAATTACTGATACTGGATATGGAAACCCAACTGAAATATTAAAATGAGCGCAATGTGATTTTAATAAACTTTCAAGGTGTTATTTGTAAGTGAATGTAGCATAATAGAGAAATGATGGAAACTTATCTTTTATATTTATCTCTAACAGTAGGCTTTGTGACACTCTATCATGCACAACAAACTACAAAAATGTGTTGTTCTGGTTCTGGTACCTTGCCTATGAGATTTTCCTTTCTGACGGTCCTGGGTTTTCCTGCTGAAGACCTTGTAGGCTTCAGTTTTCTGATACTGCTCCAGTTCCTTCATGTAACGCTCCTTATCTCGGTCAGCTTCATCAAGGTAGCGCTAGGAAAGAAATGTGCAATTATTTTCCAGAAACAGATCTTGTTTCGGTAAAATAGCAGTGAATTCCTTGAAGAAAATAGAGGACAATTAGAATGTGGGAAGAAAGTTTGTAAGGGAAGCTTTAAGGGAGAATCAAGAAATCATACGGATAGAATAAAATACAACCTCTCATTTGTAAAGAAAATAGGTGGTTGTGATTCTTTAGACTACTTATTGCCTTTTCTAACTTAATGAAGACAAGTTCTATTGAGATAATTCTCATAAAATATTCACAAGAAGGTATTACAGTTATTCCTCTAATCTGCACGTGGCCACTAGAGTCCTCAAGAGGACTGAAGACCATATAGGCACACTCAGTCTTCAGAGGAGAAAGGATGGAATATTACTTTGTTTCTCTATCCCTAACCCACTGTAAGAGAATGATCTCATACATCAATTGGCCTTTTAAGAGCCAGAAGAGTAGAGCACTAAAGTCGAGAGGCATAAAGAACATAAAAAGGAATGACCTCATCCTATGGACCTAAAATGCACTACTATGAGAGAGCCTATATCTACACACTTTGTGCTATTAATTATTTAAACAAAGTCATTGATCTACCAGGATAATTTTGCTTAGTGCCTTGTCCTTTTCATTCATCAACTCGTTTAAGAAATACAGTATAAAAATAGTGCTTTTAAATAGACACAAACTAGAACCAGATACTATGTTAAAAACCTTGTCTTTCTCAAGAGCCAGACATAAGGGACACCCAACTGGCCAAATCTGGGACAATTTAAGTACCCAAATACTAAAATAGAGTGATAAAATCATAAACCATTGGGAAAAAAGAAACTAGTATGTTCATACCAGCAATAAATAAGTAACAAATACATAAATGGGGGGGGGGGGCGGGAGGCCTCGGAGGAAAAGAGTACTTAGATTAGAAGGCCAAGCACCAACTGGTAAATATGGAGGGAGGGCTGGAAGGGCCGGAGTTGGAACATTACCATTTTGCAACCCTCATGGTAAAAATTAGATCAAGCAAAAGTCATCCATTAGGATGCTCCATCTAGGGGGAAATCTGATATGGAACATACTTGCAAGTTCTTAAAATGTTTCTCCACAGATTGCTTATTAATTATAAGGGAGAATTTATTTTATTTTATTTTATTTTATTTTTTTAATTTATTTATGATAGTCACAGAGAGAGAGAGATAGACAGAGACACAGGCAGAGGGAGAAGCAGGCTCCATGCACCGGGAGCCCGACGTGGGATTCGATCCCGGATCTCCAGGATCGCGCCCTGGGCCAAAGGCAGACGCCAAACCGCTGCGCCACCCAGGGATCCCTATAAGGGAGAATTTAAAAAAAACCTTATCAAGTAAGCAAAATTAACATTACCAAAGAGGAATAAAAGGACATTGTGCATCTGCACATGTGATACCTGGAGAAGGACACAAGACTATAGATGCAGTATTCTAAGAATGCATATCTCAATCTAATCACAAGGAAACATTAGACAAGTACAAAATGAGGAATGTTTGGTTAGAAGGAAACAAAAAGGAGGTGGATGAAGAGAGAGGGACTGCATTCTTAAAAAATACTGATGTCATAAGAGACAAAGAAAGGCTGTGGAAATATTCCAGATTAAAGGAATCCAGAGATCTGACTACTAATTACTACTGTGTTAGAATAAAATCATTAAGTTGATGACGAAACTATAGTTGTGTAAGAGAATATGCCTATTTTTAGGAAATATACACTAAAAAAATTAGGGGTAAAGGACCATGAAGTATATAATTTACCCTCAAACGATTTCGAAAAAAAGTGTGTGTGTGAGAGAGCATGCGTGAGCATGAGTGCATATGCCAGTGAGAGAGAGCATGAGCATACACGCATGTGTGCGTCAGTGGGTGAGAGAGAGAGTGCATGCGTGTGAGCATGAGGGTATGCATCTGCATGTGCAGCTTGCTCAGAAGAGTGTGAGAGCATATATGAATGGGAGAAGTAGGGTAAAATGTGTTAATTATAGGTGAATATGGGTAAAGGCAAAGGATATTTGGGTGTTCTTTTTACTATTCTGTTTATAACTTTTTGTACATTGAAAAATTTTCAAAATAAAAAGTTAAAAGCAAAAACACAAAAACCCTTGCCCTACCTACCTAACAGTGGTTAGTTAACTCTGGAGAGGACTGCTGTTACTTTTGCTTTTTTTCTTTACGCACTTCTGCATTATCTAAAAAAATTTTAAACAATGAGCATGTACTATTTTGAAATTAAGAAATTAAAAAGAAAAGAGTATGTACAGCTCAGGATCCCTTTATACATTAGAGCTGAAATAATGGAACTATACGCACTGCTTTCTACTTGTTTGCCACCACAAAGAGCTTCAAGTTGCAACTTAATATAATCTCCTTGAAATTTTCTGAATTCAGTTAATTCCCGAGAGTATTTTTCAATTTGGTTTTAGTCTGTTGGGAATCCTTTTTAAAGAGTCGGAGACATAAACGAGATATAGCTATCTTGTAGATGCTGCAAATTCTGGGAACTTTTAACCTCAAGCCACTCTCACAATCATTACAATCGCTTGGCTTTTGTGGCATTTCAACCAATTTGTGGCTATCTTGTCCTTAATTCCTCTCAACTGTAACAAATGGATTTGTTTCAGTTTGACAATAGTGTTAGTTTCTGTCTTAGAAAAGAAAGAATTCAGATAGTTCTTGCTTTATTTTTCATAGGTTAGATTTGCCAGAACTCTAGTTAAAAAAATTTAAAAATCTTACGTGAACAGGAGAATTTTATCAAATGACCTTTTCTCATTCAATTCATGACTTTTAATTTAATTTGGTGGAATAAATTATGTTGACATATTTTTTAATTTTGTAATATTGAATCAGTTTTTACAAAATTCTTATATGAGCACATAAATCAAATAAAAGCGGAGCTGCTTTTGGTTGGAGGGGGGCACCTAGAGTCCCTCCTGTTTGTGCCCCTGCAGCAGATCCTGAAACAGCATAAAAACCAACGTGCTAGAGAAAAGAACTATGGTGAATTCTGCTACTCTGTTCTCCTGGGCCCCATGACAAAACTGAAGAACCAATCATTCATCTTCTTTGCTTTTCTGATAGAAGCTGTCTTTGAGGTAAAATCAAAACCAAGCAAAGATCAGGAATAGGAACAATTACCTGTTTTTCCTCAGGAGGCAGTTTACTCCATTCATTGCCTAACATCCTTGTGATTTCTGGAAATGGGACTTCTGGTCTCTTTGCTCGAAGCTGTTCTCGACGCTCGTTCATGAACCGAACATATCCTGTAAGAGGGGATTTGGGTGCGTTGCTGTCTCGAAGAGGTTTCTTCCTCTTTCTTCCTTTGGACCAACCTCCTCGCTTACTTCTTTGCTACAAGACAAAACAAAAACCAAACACCAAATATAAAATATGGCCAAATAACAACAATAAAACAAACGAACTAAACAGGATACGAGTTGCATTTTCCTACTATTGAGGGACTGGATTTTCAAAGTTCTCCAAATCTGTCATAGGTATAAATGACTGCCATGCAGTCTTCAAGAAGGAATTCCAGATAGTTCACCTGCACACCCTTTTATGTACCACACTACAAACTGTTACATTGAGGGGCTAATCCTAATTGAGGAGAATAAGGGGTACCATGATCACTTAAGCTTTGGCCTTCATATGCACTTAACAAGTCCTGACTCCTGACAGGAGATATTCTAAATGAGAAATGCAGTGCATACATAGCACTGTGCCAGAGAAGCAGAATCTGTCACAGTAGATCAGAATAAGATGACATATGCACTGAGCAAACAAAGAGATTAGTTGTAGTACAGGGATTAAAAATCATTCATGAAGGATGTTTTTCATTGATACCAAACACCAGTTCATTTCTCACAGCAGATAGCATATAGATTTTTTTTTTTAGCATACAGATTTTTATTTTTTTATTTTTATTTTTATTATTTTTTTTAAATTTACGATCGTCATACAGAGAGAGAGAGGCAGAGACACAGGCAGAGGGAGAAGCAGGCTCCATGCACCGGGAGCCTGACGTGGGATTCGATCCCGGGTCTCCAGGATCACGCCCTGGGCCAAAGGCAGGCGCCAAACCGCTGCGCCACCCAGGGATCCCAGCATACAGATTTTTAAATGAATATCTAAGTCTTAGAAAAATTTCATCAAGTATATTTAAAATGAATACTTACTTATTTGGCTTGATGGCTTGCTCCTTAAGATGTTTATTTTATAAAGTCAGAGATCTTTATATGTTATTAGTTAAATCAAAAGATGAAATCACCTCAAAAAAGTTTAAAGAAAGGCCTGAGGTACTACTGATGTTTTACCACAACCCTTTCTCTCTGTCCCTTTTAATGAGATGCAAACTGCATGCACCACACTTCTGTTTCATGATTTTACAAATACAACCTATCAGTTAATAGTTTTATGGATACAAGAATTATTTCAGGGACGAGAAAGATAAGCAAAATGAGACAAAAACATCTAAATATTAATTACAGTACTGTAATCCTCAAAATATATATAAAATGGTGCAATAATTCACCATTGAGCAATTAGACTATTTGGTATCAGCTCCCCCCCCCCCCGTTTTTGTCTTGTAAACTTAGTAACATTAAAACTACTAAGGATTTTAAGATGTTTAAGAAGCTTCAAGCATTCATTATAATCTTTAAGGATGCTAACATGAAAAAAATCAGCTCTTTTAAAATAAGAAAAAAGACAAAATTAACGGTGCTACTCTTTTATGGCTAAAAAAAAGTGTGCCTTAAAACGTGGACAATATAATCAATCATTTGCAAGGAACATTGAAAGTTCAGAAAGGGCATGACTGCCTAGGGCCCAATGGACCTTGGGTGAATTAGGAAAGATGCTCTCTAGGGGAGGGTGAACAGCTTGGGTAAATGGTGCGAGTCTTTTCAGTACATATGATTCCCTGCTGCAGGGCTTGGTGTGCAATGTGTGGCCTTGAACAAGTGCACAAGGCCTTGTCATTAATTACCTATTTAAGTCTTCATTCATTCAACACATATTTGTTGAACATCTAGTATGATGTAGGTGTAAATTTATTAAATAGGAGGGAAATAGAGTCTACTTGTCTCTAGGTCATTAAAACCATTAGTATGGTTCTATGTGAAACCATTAATATAGTTCTATGAAGAAAATTCTGCAGAATGTAAGAAGGCCAGAGGATGAACACTTTGATAAAGTCCCTTGCTGACAGCTGATTTAGACATTTCAGAGATTGGTAACAGGAAGACCTGTTTCAGCTTACCTCATCTTCATGCCTCTGTTCAGTGCCTTCTGTTGTATTTGAAGCCTCATTCTGAAGCAACTGACCTTGGGAGAGATCCTCCACAAAATCTGGATTGTTGGTGGATGATGTGGCTCCACTGCTATATGGAACATCTGGGTGGGTTAACCTTAAAAATAATAGGCAGATGTGCCATCATTAAATTATCAACAGCATCAAAAATTCCTGTTTACCAAGATTCAAGACAAATTTCCCTGCCAGCAGAAGCAGAAGCCAGATTTAATTCCCCACCTCATTTGTGTAAACGTAAACAATGTCTCCAGAACAGTTAGAATAAAAAAAAAAATAGTTTCAGTGCTTGATCGACCTAGATATCAAATAAGATAGGCTAAATAGTATCTCCTAAATTTGAAGACCTGAAGATTGTTGGCAATTTTAGGGAGGACAGTTTTAGTGGGATTATGGGAATAAAAACCAGATTATAGTGGGCTGAGAAATGAATGAAAGCCGCTGCAGACTGTACTGGAAATGAAAGAAATTATACTTTTCTGACCCTTTCTAGAAAATATAATAGACGATTTTAAGCAGGAGTTTCCTACATTTTTGAGGTCTTTGAGGTCTTCTGAAAAAGGCTAAGAGATCTATGAACTCAATGCCAATCATGTTCTCTGAAAAGAGGTGACAATAACAGACCCAGTTTGATCTCAGGAGCTTTGTTTCCCAGATATTTCAATCATTTGGGATGTCTTTGGCAACTTGTTCTCTCACTGTCATTCTTGTTTCAACAGTGCTATCAATTTTTAAGTTACTAATTCTTGTACATTCCTTACTTCAGTAAAATAGAAGAATGAGGTTAGGGAAAATGTACTGATCCTACGAACCCTGACTGAAATGAACAGGAACCAGAGGGGAGTGGTCACAGGCGTCAAATGCCTTGGAAATGGTAAGTTGGATTAAGACGGGAGGGGAAAAAAAGGTCCTTTTGTTCTTATGAATTGGCACACCCTTCCACTTGTGCCATGGACCCCAGAGTGTCTAGCCCACTCAAAAACAGGTTCTCAGTGACTCTGTCTTCTCTGGCATTACTAATTCCTCCCTGTCTATTGGATCAGCCTACTAGGCCTACTAATGTGGCATTTTTACTCTTGTCTTAAAACAAAACAAAATGAAACAAAAAGCACTCTCTTGATCCCACTTCATTTGCCTCCTTTCCTTTGTAGAATTATTTATACATACAGTCCCCCAAGTTAGGATGGTATGATTTATGATTTTTCAACTTTATGATGGTGCAAACACACTCATTAGTGAAAACACACTCAGTAGACACCACACTTGGATTTTTGAATCTGGATCTTTTCCTGGGCTTAGCGATTTGCAGTGTGACACTCTCCCATGATGCTAGGCAGCAGCAGTGAGCCTCATGATCACCAGGAAAATAACAGATACCCTTATGACCATTCTGTACCCATACAACTATTGTTTTTTCACTTTCAGTACATTACTCAACAAATTACGAGATGTTCAACACTTTATTATACAATAGGTTTTGTGTTAGATGATTTCGCCCAAATGTGGCTACTCATCTGGTCTTTTAGGCAGATCTTACTTGATTTATCTTCAAAATACATGTAGAATTCTACATTTGTCATCAAGCCCCATCCCATGATCTTTGCAACCCTTTCCACTGAGGCTTCGCCCCTACTACTCTACCAAAAATACTCTTGTCAAAGTCACTAGTGACCTTCTTTCAGTCATCATTTCTTGCTTGAATTATTTTAGGAGCTTAACTCATCTCCTTGCTTCAGCCACTGTTCCCTTTATTCTCAATATAAGAGGCATGGGGATCCTATTAAAAAGTTAGATCATATCATTCTACTTGAAATCCTCCAATACTTTCCCACCTCACTTGGAGTGTGAGTTAAAGTGCTTACTCTGATCTCTAAGATCCTACACAATCTAGTCCCTTGTTATGGGCCTCACACCAGCAGCATTGACATTATCTGGGAACTCACTAAAATGTAGAACCTCTGGCCCTCACTCAGACTTTCTGACTCAGAAAGTACTGATGTAGCTCTCTATTACCTTTCCTGTGGTATACTCTGCTCCAGCCACACTGGCCTCCTGGCTATTTCTAAAAGGTAGAAACACTCCGAACTCAGGGTAATTTTTACATTCACTCCTCCCTCTGCCTCAAATAATCTTCCCCTAAGAACTACACACTAGCTACCTTACTTCCTTCAGGTCTTTATTCAAGCCACTTTTATTTATTTATTTTACATTTAAAAATCTTTAAATTCAATTTGCCAACATACAGTATAACATCCAGTGCTCATCCATCCCATCAAGTGTCCTTCTCAGTGCCCATCACCCAGTTACCCCATCCCCCCACCCAACTCCCCTTCCACAACCCTTTTGTTTGTTTCCCAGAGTTAGGAGTCTCTCATGGTTTGTCCCCCTCATTTTTCCCACTCAGTTCCCCTCCTTTCCCTTATAATCCCTTTCACTGTTTCTTATATTGCACGTACGAGTGAAACCTTATGATGATTGTCCTTCTCTGATTGACTTATTTCATTCAGCATCATACCCTTCAGTTCCATCCACGTTGAAACAAATGGTGGGTATTTGTCTCTTCTGATGGCTGAGTAACATTCCATTGTGTGTGTGTGTGTGTGTGTGTGTGTGTATCATATCTTCTTTATCCATTCATCTGTTGGAAGACATCATGCTCCTTCCACAGTTTTTCAAGTCACTTTCAAAGCCTTTCTGAGGCCATCGTATCTAAAACTATACCCCAAGGCCTTCCTATCTCTCTTTCCTGCTGTATTTGTTAATCCACAGTTCTTAACAACATAGTATGTATTTTACTTATTTATCCTTATTGCCTGATGTCCCCAGTAGAATTTAAACTCTGCTGGGCTGGTATTTTATCTGTTTTACTCATTTCTTAGTACCCAGGATCTAGAACAGTGTATGGCATACAGGAAACACTCAGAAAAGTTTTCTTGAATGAATTGGAATTAGCACCTAGGCAGCTTTTAGAAAAGTCTTGGAGAGCTGTTTTATCTGAATAATAATGTTGGAAGGCAGGTATTAATGAGAAAAGAAATAAATCTGAAGGAAGGAAACAGAATTACAAAGTGTAGTCTATATTTAAAGAGCTCTATAGAAAATTAAAATAATTCATCATAGGGATTAGCTAGCACTTCAATCTATTAGTGAATACATTTCTTCCATGGCAAATAACTTCTAAGTAGAAAAGATAAAAATTCAAGTGGAACAGAGATTTTCAAGGGAAGAGGGACTATTGCTTTTAGCCCTTTTTTATATCACTTTACATATCTGTCCACAAATACCAAAGAAAGGAGGTGGAGGCAGAAAAGGAACAGAAGTTAGTCAGAGCTCCAGGCATCTTGAATAAAAGAGCCATATTAAACAAATCTGATCTAAAAAAAAAAAAAATCTGACCTTTGGGGAAAAAATTATTTCAGTATCTGTGGGAATTCAAAAAGAAAATGAACTTGATTTTCAGAGCTAGCCCTGTGGCAGGTATGTGTTTAATTGTGACTATGTAATTCTCCTAACCGGGAGGAACCGACGATGCTTCCCAGGTCCACATACTGTTGCTCCAGTTCACAGGAACCAGAGCACCACAAATGATAGCTGAATGCAGATCACAAAGCAGCTTACAATGGCTCTTGCTCTCTTTGTAAAGCATAACAAACATACCTTCTATTTTTATGGTATAAAAAGGTCTCTTTAGCACCTCATACATTGTCAGAGGCTGTGTTGTGAAGCCTAGGCAGACAGGCCCAGTGTCCCGAAGCAGCTGCTTACCCAGTTGCAGCCAGATCATTACTCTCCTTGGAGCCATCTTCATCTGCAAAAAGGGGTGGCAGGGTGGAGCTAGTCATCAAGGTTTCCATCTCTCTAAAAGGAAGAGGGAATAAGAAAATAATGATAATGTCTTAATTACTTCCAGTTGAAGTTCCATTAATTTAAGAGCCAGCCTTCCTTAAATTTATTACCTCAGCAGCAGAATTGAAAATGACCTAAATATTTATTTTCTTCTTGACTTGGACATATCGATTTAAATTCTGGTTACTGGGTCCTTGACTTTGGTCTTACTGACGGACCAGACTAAAAACAGTCAGATTTTTATAAATGGGGCCCAGTTTGGAAATTCTTTTTTGTTCACTCAGAATATCTTCAAAAGCATTCTTCATTTTCTGTAAAAATCGTTAAGTAGCATTGTAACCCTGAACAAGTTTTCAATGTCTTTGAGATAGTCTCACCAGCTTAAACACAGTCAAAATTGCTGACTTGACCCACAGGGTTATTGTGAGGATTGAGCTGAAAGAGCTTCATAAACAGAGAAAGGCTAAGATCGTAAGTGCTTTGAGTATTATTAAAGCAAGGTATTGTTATTATAGCATTATCGGGTCTCTGTCCCAGATGAATCATTCTTAGATTAAATGGTAACAAACTGAGCCCTCCAAAAGGAAATAATGCACAGGAAGTGGAGGCTGGAAGGCATACTGATGTGGTGCAGAGTTAAAGAAACCACATTTCCAGGTCAGAAATATGCTTTTCATCCCCATGATGACCAACGGAAATAGCATGCACCTGGGTGCAGGAAACAACTGAGCTTAATTGAAGGAAACCAAATAAATCACAAGAACTTGAGGTTATCAGACTGAAAGGCTAAAAGGACAAAGTGACAAAGAGAGTAATTTCATTTAGCACATCACTACAGAGAAAGATTTTTCCCTTTCAAGGCTTACCACGAAGGGCTTCACCCCATAGAGCTAAAAGCAGCAGCCTCCCATTCATCATTTAAGTGATATTCAAACAAAACATTCAATAGTGACCCCAAACAGTAGCCACTTCAGGGGAACTGCAAACCACTCAAGAGAAAGAGGGCCTCAATCAAACAGGGAGAATTGAGAAGCAAATTATGAGAATTCACTCAGGAGCTACCTCAGCAGTTATTTCAGGGGCTGCTGCTAAGGAGACCTAGGAAACAGCAATGAAGGGGAAGGCACAGCAGCCCAGGATTCATCCCACAGAGGAGGAGACACCAAGCAGGTGCACATGACTCTGACACCAAATTTGACATGTGTAGTAGAGTCATTTACTTCCAAATTCTTACTTATTTTCTTGTTTTCCCCTCTATATTTGTTGGTTAGCAGACTAAGTTTCATACACAGCTTAAAGTGAAAACAATGCATCTCTGTATGTCTCTTACCCATTGCGGTGGGTAGAGCGTGGAAAGTAGACAGGAATTTTAGGCTTAATCAAAAGTTTATTCCACGTGCAGAGATGCTTGCTAACCCTTCTCAATCCCTTCAAGACATGGGGGCTTCTGAGGGGGCTCTTCACCTTACCCTGATACTCACTTAACCAAAACAAAATAACAAACAAACCTCTAATCAATCAGGTGCTATCCAGCCTAACTGTAAATCATGAGCAAACATTCAAACTGCCAGATATTTACTCCCAAACTTTATAAGGAAGGACTCTGGCTTCTTTCTAAAAGTCTCCCTAAACCTACAAGGCCTTTCAAGAACGTTAAGATTCAGCATCTGAAGCTCCTTGCATGCCTCACATCTCAAAGGCAGGGGGTGAATGAAGTGTCTTGGGATTCACGATGCCAATATGCCCCTTTTAGGGTGCTGCCCAGTTATCTGTAGTCATTGCTGAGATACTGGGAGGAAGCTGGACAGCACAACCTTAGCAACATATAAACAGATCATATAAACAAAGGAAGTTGAGAGAACACAAATTTCTTGCTTTTTTCCCCTTAAGTTTGTTTTACCTCAACCCATATGGCTTTAGATATATTTTCTCTAATGTTATTGAGTAGTCAGGCCCCTAAGAAATGAGTAATAAAGTGGGTGGAAGGTTAAAGGGCCAAGATCAACAAAAGGAAGGAAATGAGGAAAAAGTCCAGTGAAACCCAAAGGCCTCTAAACTAGTCCAGTAAATTGGAAAAGAAAATGATTCCCAAGAACACGGCTGGGATCCTGCAAGAATCTGCTTTCATATGGTCTGTGAGGGGGTGATTCAAACTGAATCACAGCTACTAAGCCACTGATTGCCAAAAAGCCTTTCAGTGTAGCATCTGTGTCTGATAATGTCCCAGTACAGAGGTCACACTGAACTCTGGAATTCTATGTGAAGCACTTAAGAAATGTAATGAATGCTAAGCTGGAAGGGGAGAGAGGAGAAATATGCACAAAGACAAAGCAATATACAAATCTGCAGTTTACATAAGTAAGCATTTCATGCAGATGTTTCCTTGCAGAAGGGACCTCCCAGTGAAGGACCTCTACCTGGAAGTCTCAAAAACGCTATTACCTTGGGGCTTACACTTCGAATGAGGGTCTAGACTGTAGCTTTGAAAATCCAAAAATTCCCTCTAACACTAGCCACTCACAAAAAAAAAAAAAAAGTATAAAACATGGTGCCAGTTTAAGATATTTTCATGACAATTATAAAAATTGTAATAATTATATTAAGCACACTAGGTATTTATTGGCCAATCAACACATTTTCTCCCTGTAGTAAACATGGGGAGCTAAATCACATTCAGAATATTGCTTTGGGGGACGCCCCGGTGGCTCAGTGGGTGAGCGTCTGTCTGCCCTTGGCTCAGAGAGTGATCTCGGACACCTGGGATCGAGTCCCGCATCGGGCTCCCTGCATGGAGCCTGCTTCTCCCTCTGCCTGGGTCTCTGCCTCTCTCTCTGTGTCTCTTGTGAATGAATAAATAAAATCTTAAAAAAAGAAAGAATATTGCTTTGGTCAACACAGGTGGAGTTTAAGAACTGTTCCTCAGGTAAGATTTTCCTAGTAGCCCTCCTGACAATAGGGATGACGTCAATGGTGAGACTACCTTATCCCAAACGGGCTGGACGGTGCTGGGAGTCTGATTTGTACTGAGGTCCTCTGGGGTTGGCTCGTTTCAAGCGCCCCTTCCTTACTCTCACAGGTTCAGCCCACGTCCCGGAGTTCTCCTTGGAGACGCTCCACCTTCACTCTTCACCACACACCTCCAGAGCCGACAGATTCTGTCCCTCATTTTCCACACTGAGAGTCTTATGTAAAACTTCCAGTTCTTTTAAAAATCATGCCGTTTGTCCAACCAACCTCAAATTCAAATATTTCTGACCACCATTCCCTACCATTTCAGCTCTCTCAATTACTTCTACTACCCATGACCTCTAACCACAGAAACCTCTATTCCCTGACCCTTGGTTTTCCCTTCTCTTCCAGCTTAGATTCCATGGCCACATTTCAAATATTCTTTTGTCAACACTCTCAAGTTCTTTGCCTTGCTACCCCTTCTACACCTCGGATGTAGATCAATTCTGAGTTTTAACTCAAGATGGTGTTGTGGAAAAAAGAAATCACAAAGTAAAGGGTGCTCTTGTAAATTTGTCCATCCACAACTAGCTCCTCAACATTCTCAGCAATCATGCTACATTTTCTCAGGATCTTCTCCAACTGCCATATCAGCACTGTCAAACTTTCCCAACTGACTCAAACCTAAGTCACCCAAACCTTCCCACTTACTCTCCTCTTTTATACTCCCTATCCCTGACTCAGATCAAAGGCTATCCTAAAGTTGCTTTATTTTTTTCAAAATACCATAAAACTCACTCCTTAAAGAATACAATTCAGTGGCTTTTATATATTTACAAGGCTATACAACCAACAGCATAATTGACTTTAGAACATTTTCATCACCCCCCAAAAGATACTTGGTACCCATAGCAGTTACTCCTCATTCTCCCCTTCCCCTAGGCCTGGGTAACCACTAATCTCCTTTCCGTCTCTATGGCTATTCCTATTCTGAATTATCTCATATAAATGGAATACACAATGTGGCCTTTTGTGTCTGGCTTATTTCATTTAGCATAAAATTCTTCCAGCTTCATCAAACTGTAGCATGTGTCAGCATTTCATTCTTTTCTATGTATGAATAATATTCCATTGCATGGCTATACCACATTTTGCTTTTGCATTTACCAGCTGATAGACCTAGGCTGTTTCTACTTTTGGTCTCTGTGAATAATGGTGTTTATGAACATTTGTGTACAAGTTTTCTTGTGGACATGTTTTCAATTCTCTTGGGCATACACCTGGGAATGGAAATTACTGGGTCATATGGTAACTCCATATTTAACATTTTGAGGAACTGCCAAGCTGTTTTCCAAAGCATCTGTAAAATGGTACCAACAATATGTGAGAATTCCAAGTTCTCCATATCCTTACCACACTTTTTAGGAATGCTGGGGAAATACCGACTCTAGCTGTTCAACTTCCCACATGGGCTAAGGGAAACCTACAACTCCAGCTCCTTCCAGCCATTCGGTCTTATCTAAAGGGAGAAAAAACCTGAGAAACACTGGAGGTTATACTCCACGGGCACAGGCTCACCAAAAGACTGAGACCTAATTATAAGGTTATGAAATGGGATCCCTGGGTGGCGCAGCGGTTTGGCGCCTGTCTTTGGCCCGGGGCGCGATCCTGGAGACCCAGGATCGAATCCCACATCGGGCTCCCGGTACATGGAGCCTGCTTCTCCCTCTGCCTGTGTCTCTGCCTCTCTCTCTCTCTCTCTCTCTCTGTGACTATCATAAGTAAATAAAAAAAAAATATATTTAAAAAAAAAAAAAAGGTTATGAAATGCTTCTCCCTTTATGCCTTATCACTACATCACTGAAGGTATTACGAAGTACCTATGTACCACAGTTCCTTTAATCTAGTACCTTATGTCTATTTTTCAACAAAAAAACTATAAGGCATGCTAGAAGACAAAACCCCTGGTTTGAAGAGACTGACCAAGTAATATATAGCATGAATACTAAAGTTCTCAGACCGGAATATTTTTAAATTATACGTTAAGGGCTTTAATGGAAAAA